CATGTCACTTGAAGCGCCTTCGGCTAGCAATGTTATCAAATTCAGGGTTAATTTAGGCTCCCACATAAAGAACATCCATTGCGCCTCAAAGCAGCCTGACGCCCCTACAGCTGGGCACCCATGAATCATTTTAGGAAAATTACACCCCTGTCTACACATTTGTCATTTACGCTATAAACGTTCTCGGATATCTCAGCTAGAGGTACATACCTAAAAGGCACTTGCACAGTATGTACATACATCAACCTTTAAATCTGCTCTTTAAAGATCTAAATCACTTATCACGGTGTTTAAGTTTTAAAGGGACCCTGCCACCTTAGTCCTTAACATTAGTTTTGAGTTGAGATAGCCAAATTGGTGGCCATGGCCTGAAAATACCGGTTTGGGCATTCACAACATCGAAAAATGCTTTAATTCGGAGATATGGAATTTCAAACTTGCAGTTTTCGGATTCTAAGGGGCTAATGCATTGGTATGCCCCCTTAGAATTTGTGACGTCAGCGGAGATCTAACGATTTTTAAATCTTTTACTAAAACGTTTGGCAGCACGCGGTGGTATATGCTGCTTTGCGCGCAACAAATGCCGCACTTTCAAATAAAGTCGCTAGGAACAGCGGAGATCCCAAAAAGTAAACTTACTTACTTACTTACTTAAGATGCACGGAAAATTTTGAGAGGCCCAAGGCCTGTAGTGTCCGCTCCAGTCGAGTTCGTGTTTGACAGTGTTACTGTTCGTATGGTAGGGGCGGGGTGAAGTGGAGGTGTCTCCAGTGAGTGTCGAGCCGGTTCTTGAACGAGTTTAGAGAGTCGGCGTCTACGACGGATGATGGTAGGCTGTTCCAGTCGTTAATGACTCTGACTGCGAACGCGTTTCGACGGATGCGGGTGACGGCATGGGGCTTCGCAAGACGCCAGGAGTGTCCTCTTGTATCTCTGGTCGTTACTCGGTTGAAGAGCTCCTCCGGATTCAGGTCCAGTCTCCCATGCAGCACATTGTAGACAGCGATCATGTCGCCGCGTCGACGTCGGTAGTGGAGGGAAGGCAGCTTCATAGACTTCAGTCTTTCCTGGTACGGTAGGTGACGTACTTCCTGGACCAGCTTGGTCGCTCGGCGCTGGACTCGTTCGATGAGGAGCTGATCCGCTCGATTGAATGGCCCCCAGACAATGTTACCGTACTCCAGGAGCGGTCGCACAAGCGTCTTGAACAGGATTGGCAGGGTCATCTTGTCCAGCAGGCTGAATGACCGTCTTATCACGGCCATCACTCGAGATGCCTTGTTGACCGCTGCCGCTGCTTGCCTCCTGAACTTCAGCTCCGCGTCAACAATCACTCCTAGGTCCTTTTCCTCTGTCGCCGTCTGCAGGACTTCACCGTTCAAAAGGTAGTCGTGCCGGTGGACGTGACGACCGACGTGGAGGACCCTGCACTTCGTGTCGTTAAATTGCAGTTGCCAATCCTCACCCCACTGTGTCACAGCGTCCAGGTTCGCTTGGAGAGCCCGCGCGTCCTCATGGTCACAGACGACCTGGTACAATTTGCTGTCGTCGGCAAAGACCTTGACACCGCAGCTTAGGACATTTGGCAGGTCGTTAACATATAGGACAAACAATGTAGGTGCCAACACAGATCCTTGCGGGACTCCACTTGGGACTGAGGTCCATTCCGAGCAGGAACTGCCGATCATTACCCGCTGCTTTCGCCCCGTCAGGAAGGCCTCTATCCATCGTAGCAGCTTCCCACGGATTCCATGTGCAGCCACCTTGTGGAGAAGCCTGCGGATTGATACAGTGTTGAAGGCCTTGGCCAGGTCAAGAAAAATGATGTCCATGGGGTCACCACGTTCTGCAGCGCGGCTCCAGTCCTCTGCTGAAAGTAGCAGTTGCGTTACGCAGGACCTGCCCGGCCGGAATCCATGCTGGGCTTCAGTAATCAGGCCCTCTGCCTGCAGGTGCTCCATCAGCCTGTCCCTGATGATGGCTTCCAGCACCTTGCAGGGCACTGGCGTCAGGCTGACTGGTCGGTAATTGCTGGGGTCGTCCTTGCTGCCCTTCTTGTAAATGGGGACCACGTTGGCCGACGTCCAGTCCTCTGGAAGGATCCCTGTATCGAGCGACTCCCGGTACATGGCTGCTAGTTGAGCTGATATTGAGTCTCTCGTCTCGTGGAGTACCCTTGGATGAATGCTGTCAGGTCCAGCGGCTGAGGAGGTCTTGATCTGGGCGAGCTTCTGTTTTACCAGGTCCTCTGAGATGTCAACGTCCTCTACTACTGGTCCCCTGTACGCGTCCCCGGCGTGCGGCATCGGCCGAAGGTCATCCTCGATGCAGACCGAGCTGAAGAATGCGTTCAGCACCGCGGTCTTCTCTTCGTCGTTTACTGTAAGCTGACCTGAGTCTGTGCGGAGGTTCTCAACGCCGGCCCTGCTCTTGGTTCTTGAGGCCGAGTACCGCCAGAACGCCTTTGGGTTTGCCTTCAGGTCAGCCGCCAGCTTCCTCTCCAGTTCCTTCCTTAGATTGCGGGTGAGCCGTCTCAGGTCGTTGCTACATCGCTTGTAACGTGCGAGGCAGATGTCATCCATGCATTGGGTGTACTGGATCCACAACTTCCGCTTCAGCTTTTTCAATCGCATAGCTTCCCTGTCCATATAGATATTGCGTCTCTTATTAGTTGGGCAAGACCTGGGGATACACTGAGTCGTCAGAAGATCCAACGTCCTTTTGAAGTACTCGTATCTGGTGCGCGGGTCCGGAGGATCGGGCACTTCCCAGACAGTCTCCCTGATCCGATCATTCAGGAGCGCATAGTTCCCTTTGTTGAGGTTCAGCCGGGGCTCCCTTGGTTCTCTTCCCTGGTCATAGTGCACGGTCTCAAACCTCAGTACCACATGGTCGCTGTGTCCTATGGGTGGGTGGTAGACAAGGTTTTTGACTAGCCCCTCCTCGTTACTCAGGATAATGTCCAATCCGCTAGACCTGTTGCCTTCCCTGTATCGTGTGTCCTTGGTGACATGTTGTGTGAAGCCACAGACTTGCAGCCCTTCCATAAATTGGTGTGTATGATGGCCCTCAGGGGCAGTGGAGTAGCTGTGAGTCCAGTCGATTTGGGGGTAGTTGATGTCCCCAGCAATCAACACTTGGGTGTTTCTTTCAGATGTGCAGCTAGTGATGAGCTCCAGTAACTCAGACGTAGAAGACGGTCCGTGGGCAGATGGGCTACGGTAAATACATCCCATGAGGAGGCGATTTGGGTTTCGCAGAGGGATCTCCAGCCACAGATGCTCGATTTGATTGCAGCCTGGGAAAGAGCGCTTGGTAGTCCTGATAGAAGTTTTGACGAATATGCCAATCCCTCTGTACCCACTGCTGCCAAGGTTCTCCTTTCCTGGATCGAAGTTCAAGTAAAGATTATATCCCAGAATAGCAAGGACTGCAGGTGAAATGGGGTGAATCTGTGCCTTTGGAATTATCTCTGTCAAGAGGATTATGTCTGGCTCATCGTTTACCAGGGCCATACAGAGGTCATCCCGTTTGTTAATAAATTGGTCTATGTTTGTGTAGAGGACCTTGAGTTTGCTTGACCTCTGCCTTCCTTCCTTATCTAGTCAATGCTGGTTGGGTGCCCCAGCGCCTGGCGCAATGGGCTCAGTGGAAGGTTCCGCTCTTGTCTGGGATGCCGCCAGACAGGATTATTAAACAAAAGTAAAAGTCTAATATCTTGAAAACCGGTGAATATTTTTCGACGAAATTTGGTAGATATTCATTTTTGCTCTTTCTGAACCGAGCGACATCACTTTCATGCCAATTCATTAACTTTTTTGAAGGTGGGAGGGTCCCTTTAACCCTCGCCCGCACATGGGGGGGGGTGGTTGCCACCCCCCCCAGGTAGTCTTTCTGCTCTGCACTCCACATTTTTAGAGCTAGAAGGCTGATTTTTCGTATAGCTGCTCCTCTATCCTTTCTTGATGTCCACTGAAAATTTCAAGTTTCTGTGATTTTTGGTTTCGGAGATATGACCTTGTTTTTCAGGTCATGTCATGACCCAAATGGCCAATTCTCAACATCTTGCGTTTGCCATGGGCCTTATGAGCTTTTGACACCCTGATTTCGGCCGTTTTTGCCAGTCTTACCTCCTACCTATCATGGAACATGTTGTTCGACGATGTACAGGGGTCAAGGTCAGGGTCAAGGTCAACCTAGGTCACCTAAGATAATTGCGTTTTAGGCAAGCTGAATTTACTTTTTTTGAAGTTTTTTGACTGCATTTTTGGTAAAAGCTTCTCAGATCATGATTTCATGTAATATGGACCCAAAAACAATCGGTGCACACATCAGTATACACACAGACACACACAGACATACAAACACATATAATTGACCTTGACCTAACTTGACCTGAAATGACCTCAGCAGCAAAATTCTGGTCGGGTAGTGTGACAAAGAGGTTCTAGCTGGCTTGGCACCAGAAAACAGCATCGTCATCGGTATTTGATAAGCAGCACACTTGATATCCAACGGTGACCCAAAACAGCAACATTTTTTAGTTTGACCTGACCTGGAAGGTCAATGACTGACCTGAGAAGGTAAAACTGGGTATCATTGGATTCGTCTCTTCCCAAAGAATCTTTTTGGTCTTTACTGCTAAGCTCTATCTCCAACAGGAACGAAATGGCGCGGGGGGGGTGGCAACCACCCCCCCCCCCCATGTGCGTTCTAGGATGGGAAAATGGCATGTGCGGGCGAGGGTTAAATCTGCCCTTCACTACAGGTTTGTCAGACTTTAGTTGCATAAAAAGCAAAAAGTGTGCAAATGGTAAGATCGGTGTTTTAGTTTTAGATGGTTAGATGGTCTGGACTGTAATCGCCATGCTCCGTGTGGATTGTCCACGATTGTAATGCATACATACATACATGGTCTTGCAGGAGAGGTATTTTACCGCCTTGGTCCGGGATATTTGGATATGGTAGCTTTAGAATTGCTACCATATCATGGCCACCGCTTGCGGCATACGTGGCGCAAACATTCTCGCATGCTCGTTCGGTGTGAGCGCGTGTGATATTTTTTGTGTAATCGTGTTTCAAATTGAGTTTTATTTTTTCATATTACTGTATGCGCCGATGTGCTGTTTATAAATAGACAGGAGGGGAAGCAGGGTTTCTTTCAGAAGTGTTTCTCAGAAGGTAAGATAAAAGCCTCGCTTATCGTTGCTGTCATTTCATAGACCATTATGGCGTGCCATCTCAAACTTTGAATTGTCACCTTTAAATCATTTTTTCACTTCTCATATTTCATTATTTTTGTCTGAAGACAGCCTGATAATCTGAGGAATAGTTATTACATTGATTTGTAACTTTTAACAGGATTTGACATTTTCAGAGTGCTGTTCACGGGCACCTGCGGTGACTGCGGTAGCTGCGGTAGATCGCAGGCTGTACCTAAGTCACGCCCACTTGTGTATACGTCATCACGCGTTCGTCTGCGGCGGCTGTGTCAATATTGCGCCCAAGTAACACAAATGCGCAACTGCCGCGCCACTTTGCATGACAAATGGTTCCTGCGGCCGCTGTGGTCGGATCGTTTCGACCGCAGGAGATGCAGGCGACCGCAGCCGTATGATGTCACACCACCCGCCCCATCCCCACTTTCTGTGAAGTGTGACGTCATTACCCGGCTGACCGCCGAGCCGCAGCTACCGCAGGTGCCCGTGAACAGCACTCAGGTTGTTGGCTGCACAGCCTAAATGAAATATGCTGCAGCACGCATGTTCAGTGAGGGCTATGTTGCCTGTTGGTCCCACCCACATCTCTACGTCATCGCATGTGTGATGTCACCCACTGAAGCATCCTATTTCTCTTTCAATTCTGTAGCACAAAATTTGGTGCTGCAGGAGATGAAGGTGGCACAAATTGAAGTTTACTGTCCTATATTTTTAATTGTAAACAGTTGGCATGTTTCTGGGTATCATTATCACTTTTCAGTGGCATAGGTAGGTATTGCTTTTAACCACAATTGATTGCATTTGTCGGCACCCAAGATGATGCAAGCGGCATGACCAGCAGACCTTGACCTGAGCTGCACAGCCAAGACCCGAGCGGCCAAGAGCCCTCTGTTTCATTCATGCCTATACAGTCTTCTGGGCTATTGCTTCTACATCCTCCTGTTACAGAAAATTGCCTGGGCCCTGTTTCACTGGTGATAGCAGCACGCTACTATCAAATTGCGCGAGCTGACGTAATGTGATGAGGTCACACTAATGACGTTTCGTATAATCCGTGAGCTGCGTTTGGAACATAGTTGCTGTATCGTTGAATTGGGTTTGATACATTTGCCTGATCGCAGGGCCGTGAAGATGTCAGCAGCAATATTTGATGACATCACACAGATTGACGACATAATGGTTTATTGATGTTTCCATGGAAACCCAATTTGCTGCTATCACCGGTGAAACAGGGCCCTGTTGGTTATTGTTACTCCTCTATGCTCCAAGCCCATCTAAGCCCTTGGTCATAAGGTACAATTTCTTTTACAGTGGCTTATAAGAATCAAAATAGCTCTAAAGTCCAAACCATGTCAAATGAAATAATGTAACAGTAGAAACATTTTGTGCTGATTAATGGAAGGTGGAAGCTTAAGCTCCACCAAAGTCCAAAAGAAGTGATATATGCATACAATATACCTGGAAAAGAATCACCTGGCTGGGCTATAGGTATACATTTTGCTGTTTGCACCAGTTGAAAACTGGTTAATTTCACAAAATAAAAATATGAAAGGAAAGGACACATCTTAGCTTGAAAAGTGACACCGCACATCATTGCTTATAATACTAGGGACGTTCCAAAAGTAATGCCTCCTATTTTTTAACTCAAAAAGTTGATGAGATTGGAAGATGGGGGTGGCGTCATTAAAACGAACATACTTTTTATGTTCTACGTTTATTTTTCTACGTAGTCACCACTACTCTCAATGCACTTTTGCTAGCAATGAACGAGAGCCTTGATGGCTGGCTCGTAAAAGTCGGCGCCCGCCGAGGTGGTCCTTTTCTTCACGGCGGCAATGACGGCGTCGTTGTCTGGGAAGCGCTGCCCACGTGAGCCGTCCTTCAGAGGCGCGAACAAGTGGAAGTCGGAGGGTGCCAGTTCAGGATTATAAGGAGGGTGTGGCAGCATGTCCAGCCGAACTTTGCCACACATTCTTCAGACTCGTGTGTGGCCTAGCGTTGTCATGTTGCAAACAGAATGTTTCTCTTCTTTTTTGGCCTTACTCGGGCTATCCGGGCCTTCAGTTTTGTCAACGTTTCAACGTAACGGTCAGAGTTTACAGTCGCTCCTGGTTCCAGGAAATCCAAGAGGATGACACATTGCCTGTCCCAGAAGACGGTGCACATCACTTTGCCTGCTGGCGCCCGGTGCGCGGACGTCCGGAGCGTGCTTTGTCTTTGACATCACTTTCACCGCTCTCAAAACGACGCACCCATCTCCTAACTGTGCTCTCATCCACCGCGTCTGCTCCATAGACCTTCTGCAGGCGTCGGTGGATGTCGATGGGTGCATTCCCTTCCCTGTGAAGGAATTCAATGACGCATCTCTGCTTCTGACGAGTTTCCATGACAAACTTCGTTTATCAAGGCCTCACGCGGTAAATAGCTGTGATAGAGAAATGAAAGTCATGATATACGGTGCAAATTTCAACGCCCTCCGATCATTTGGGGTCGGAGGGCGTTGAATGTAATGCCTCCTATTAAAAAATAGGAGGCATTACTTTTAGAACGACCCTCGTACTTTTAATGCAAAACATTTATAAGTTACACCTGACCGCATGTAGAGTCAGGCGAGGCTAGGTTATGTTAGGTTAGGTCATGTTAGGCCAGGTTGCAGCTTTGTAGATAATTAAATAGGTGCAGATCATTCGCAAGTTTGGCTGCAGTCTCTCAGCTTTTCATTGGTGGAATTTGCAATTTGCATGGTCTTTGCTGAACACCAATGAGATGCTAACAGCTAATATATTTTTTAAAAGATTTTTTTTTTCTGAATGGATGAACGGGTGGTTATGGGCCTGGGTGCCCTGCTAAGCACCGCTTGTTGCAAATGAGACCACCACAGACCCACCACCCTGTCCGCACTTAGATATGCTGGGAGACCGTTTTCATGTATGGCAAAAGCAGCAGGCTGTTCAAAAAGTTAGTTACTTTTCGACATTGGAATATCCACGTAGATTAACATATAATATTTATTTAATTTGTTGATGCTTCATCATTGTTATGGGATGAGCTGTAGGTCAATGAATGTCCATTGTTTCCTTATCCAAAAGACAGCTATTTGGGTTTAGACTTAAGTGATTTGCTGATAACCACTGAGAGGCCATCTAAAGGTCACTTGAGTTGAGCCTACCCACCCATCTCATGCAGTTGCAAAGATACCTTCCTCATATGTTTAACAAGTTGTTTAATAAACTTGGTTATGATGATGATGATGATGATCAGAGGCGGATCCAGCTCAGAGTTTTTTTTTTTTGGGGGGGGGGGCAAACCATAACAATTTATCGATTCTTTCCATGCCTCGTCCATAGGTGTAATGTTAAAATTATGCCGTTTGGGGGGGGGGGGGGCAAATGCCCATTTTGGATCTGCCACTGATGATGATGCTGATGATGGCGTGCCCAACGTCTGAGTGTTCGTCATATAACCCTCAGAGGTTGGGCACGCCATCAAACCCAATCATCATCAAGCTAATGAAGTTCCATATATGTAGGTATACTGTTACTGCTTAGTACCTATGTCATTTACTAATTATTTTGCTACTTTTCAGACTCAGCCATGATTGGACGTATTTCCTTGCCGCGTACTACAACAGTCAGCCTGAATGAAAGGTAAAATGTGTGTGTTTGCTATAACAACAAATTGATATGCTGGTATTTGAAGCATTGCATTTGAAGTTAGTTTTTGCTCCAAGTTGTGTGCTGAACATGTGGTTATTGCTCGGCTTAGAAGGCATTTTGACCCCTGTCCACAATTAAAACATTACATACATGAAGGTTTCCCTATTTTGCGAATAATAAAATGGCCACTTCATTTTATATATAATAAACTGGTCTCACTTCATAACCCTGGCGTAGGGTCACCTCCCCGCGAGGCATAAAACATAAGTTGAGGCCACAAAAATAGATTTATTATGTGCTTCTTGATTTTATTTCCATGCTGCTGTAGTGACTATCATTATGAGTCTCACCACATTTCTTTACGCTTTTATAGCTTCTGTTAGTGCATTCGCAGATCACAAATTAGGCATTAGGTCATGGGCTGTGATATGCTTTTCATTTCATTTAAAGCTTTCTAAAGGAAATTAAGGCATGTATTGTCTTTTAAGAAGTGAACAAGTGTTGGGCTTGAGTTGTCTGCCCTCACCTCCTGCAGCATGTTGCCTGGATGCATATTAAATTGTAAAATGTCAGTCCTTTACACACGTGCACAACATCGTTTGTTAGTGCCGGCAGCATTGTCCTGTCTCTGTCCCTGAGCACGGTGTGTGTGTGGCACAGGTTCTCCACACTGCGCCAGCTGCGCGAGCGTCAGCAGGAGGAGGCGCGGCAGCTGCAGGAGCTGCAGCAGCGCCAGGCCAGCCAGCAGCTGGTCGACCAGATGGAGAGCCGGCCGTCGGTCCGGGCGGCCCTCGGCGGACACCGACAGACACTGGTGAGTAGTGTGCCCGATCGGCGGCCATCGGTCACATACGCCGGGTTTCACTGTAACATGATGCCTGTGTTCTCTGTTAGAGTGTAGCTCATTTTACTCCTGATCATGCTGGTGTGATGATTTTCTCCTGAGTTCGGCGAGATGTAGAATGGCTCAACATCTCTGAACTCCTGCGTGAGGAAGTGACTTTGGTATGTATAGTCGACTACAGAATGATGTTCCACTTTTCACAGGCAATTATTTGCCTGGAGTTGTAGGCTGTGCCGCATCACACGGGCTGAGTTCACAAATTATAACTTTGTCCCAATGCTCACAATCGACACGATTAATTGCGTGATAAACGGCACAACTTAGCGCTCCTGTCAACTGATAGCTTCTGAGGAGTGGAACATCATTCTGTAGTCGACTATACGCTGCATAAACGTTATGCAGTTGGGCGTTTGCGACTAAGTGGTTCGTGTTAGTCCTTATTTTATGCTGCTACGACACTCATAAGACAAACCTCGTCATGATGTGATGGCACGGCTGTTATGATGTACGGTCGCATTGAGATTTCGATGCCGCAGCTGCCATTATACCAGCGTTATTTCCGTGCCGGCAGACGCCAGTGCTCCCTGAGCCGTCGGTGACACAGTCGCCCAAGCCTCGGCTGCACGTGAAGCAGCGTCTGGCGATCCAGGCTCGTCTGGGTGTGATGCGCACGGTCCCTGGCCAGGGCGGCGGCGGACCCATCTCCACGCGACTGGGACGCGGCGCCAACGTCAAACGTCTGCAGACTGCGCGCAAAGGTGAGCAGGGGCGGCCCTGGGGCTGTATCCTGGGTGCGTGTCGGATGGGTGCGATCTGTCTTTGCTGTCCGTTATTCAGCCATTGATTCCTTTTTGAAGTAGGTAGTTGCACCACTACCTGGATGCATCGTCAGTTGTCTGCCTTACTTATCCATTTTGGGTTTGTATTTGTCTGTACCAAATCATTGATGCGCTTTGACTTGTATCATTTCCCAGCCGATGTGTCCAGTGCTTCAGTTCAGGTCTTCCAATGCTCCTTACCATTTCTAGTAAGTCTTTCGTGCTAATCCGAAGTGTATGTGCCCACTCTTAATGTGACCCACTAGTATCAACGACAGGTATCTGACTCGACGCTTCTCTTTTCACACAGCTGTGACACCTCAGAGGGGCGTGACGTCCAACCGGGGTCGTGGCCGGGGAGGGCGCACCTCAAACTTCACCGGCACGCGCACACGGTACGTGACTATGACGATTCGGTTGATGTCCCCGCTCCAGGCGGCTTGATGCCATCCGCCAGGTGGCTCATGAGACCACGAAGTGTTTCTGCGGTTAAGTCGCCTTTTTCGGCCAGCTTTTCCAGTTTTTTTTTTTTTTTTTTGATGGCTTGGTAGCTACTGCAGTGAATCTTGTGTCCCTTGCGGAAGATTTTTTGTTTTGTTGGGTTAGGCCCTTTCGGTCCAATGAGACCATTTCAGAGCCGGGAGGATGATAGGATATAGGGGGAGACATTGGTCTGGGCAGGCACCCTAGTGAGTCGCCGAGGCTGAGCCCGTCCAGAGGACAGGCCACCCAGCCCCAAGGCACTCACTGCACCCGGCTACGGGGTGCGCTCCCTCGGGAGCAGCGGTGCCGCTCCAAGGGAGCAGCCCGCATGAGATAAAGTTGCCTGTCCAGCCCGGAAGGGGTTGCGGCGTGGAGGAGAAGGATTTCAGCATCCTGAGGATAGAAGCGTGGAACGGTGCCTTGCGGAAGAGTGAAAACAATGTCGTCTAGATCACGCCTCTAGGAGATCGTCGGTCCTTGCACTACGTCCCTACAGCGATGGAGCCGCCGGTGGGTCCAAGCTCACCACCATGCTGTCGTTTCTCCTATTTTTTTTTTGCGGTCAGCAAAACACATTGAACAGGCGTCAACTATAGTTCTCCGTACACTTCCCGTTGCGTCACATCTAGCTGACCAGAGTTGTCACGTTGATCGTCACTGGCCGATCGGTAGGTACTACTCCGACCGTGCTGCCACCTAGGGGAAGGTGGGGTAAGACGGCCCAGCGGGGCAAGACGGACCAGTGACCACCAGCCCTCCCGGTTGAACCGCTGCTGGTATCTACTGCTTTATGCACTCACTATGTTTGCTTTCCTTCGTAACAATGGCCACCTTGAGCTCATGCTGCTAGGATGCATAGCTTTTGAGTTATTGAGAAAAATGTTGTTTTTCGTCAAACCGATCTAATATAAGAGGTCTACGGGTGATTCAATTACGGCGCCTTTCTTGCATGATTAGTTTCTATTTTGCACTTTACTGTGAAGAACAAAATTATAAACTTAGTTATAGTCACACTTTAGGAAAGGCAAGGTTTTGCAATGTTGGGCTAGTTGATATATACGTCATGATAATGACAGAATTTAGATTTGGGGCAAGACGGACCACTGTGGTCAATCTTACCCTGTGGTGGTCCATTGTACCCTGCATATGGAAAGTTCTTTTCCAAAGCATTGACACAAGTTTAAGTAAGCTAATTTTTCAGGAAGGAGTCTTTGTTGCATGTGAGCCATCCATGCAAGTGCTCAGTTAGCATGCATTCATGCCAAATGACAATCAACACACATGTTCCCAGCTTTTAGCTGCACTTCCATCACACATGAGTAAAGAATAAAGGCTCATTTTGTTATTTTACCATTCTGGTTACTTTTTCTTACAAGAGTACAGAGCAGAAGTGTAACACACATGAACGGATAGCAGGCACTGCTGGGTGGTCCGTCTTACCCCACGTTTTTTCTTGTCTGGGTTTTTGACATGATTGTTTTTAAGAGCATCCACCACCTAGATGTCTTTAATTTGAAATTTAGTCTTTACACATATCAACAGAGGAAGGATTGAGCATTCCGAAGACTATAAATAATATGAATTACGAGAGCAGTGTAGCAAGATATTCGGTCTCAGACCTTAGCTGGTCCGTCTTACCCCACCTTCCCCTATTACCGGGCTGTGAAACCCGAGCGCCTCATACCCTGATGTCGCTGGCCACCAGACAGTGATGTACTAGTCGTGATGTTTTCCACCTGACTGATGTTTCCAATAGTAGGTACCTGTGTGCCACCTGTTGGAGCTGATCACTCCCAGTGATTGACCGGCCACCTATCACCTGACTCAGTTATCTCGGCACTATCTGACCTGCGTCCTTCCTTCCCCAGCGGCGGAGCGACGGCCGGGCGCGGCCGAGGCCGAGGGCAGGGCACCACCAACACCCGGGGAGCGGGTCGGGCGCGTGGTCGGGGCCGCGGCGCGCGCGGTCGGGCCGCCGGCACCCCGGCCACCAAGGAGGCGCTAGACGCCGAGCTGGACAGCTACATGTCGGGCACGCGCGGCCACCTGGACGCCGAGCTGGACGAGTACATGAAGGAGGCGGCCTGCCGAGTGACCGCCACGTGATGCCGCCCGGCCGGTGGCGGCCCCCGTCCTCACCTACCCACCCACCGGCCCGCCGAGCGCCCGCGGCGCCCAGCGTCCCAGCGCGCCTGGCGCGTTGTACATAGTGCTGCCGTCATGTAAACTCATACCTGAAATGTACGTTTCTCGTTTGTTCCGGTCGTGTTTTTCGGTATTGTCGCGATGGCCCAGGGAGCTGAAGAATGTCTCGCACGTTCATTGTGTATAATAATGCGACTATTTATGTACTTAATTGTTTTGTTTGCAGATAGTTCTTTGAGCACGCTGAGCGAGGGGAGTTTAATACGACTATTCATCAAAGTTATGTGTAGGTGATAGCCCTTCCCTGTCCTCTGTATAACCCATAGGCACCGGCCTCTGCTATCACCGGCGAATTTAAATTCTACAGGAAGTCACTGCCTATTGCCCATATTTGTTTCATTTTCCAACGAAGTGCGTAGGAGTGTATTAAAAACAACGAAAAAACAAACAAACAAATAGATTTCAAGCTTTTCAAAAAAATCGTTTTAAATGCACCCACGTACGCACTCACGCAAACACAAAAGAGCGCGCTGGAAGTAGGACCAGTTTCATTGTTCGAGGGCAAGACAGTGGTTAGATTCAGTAGCTTTGTAGCTCTCCTTAACCCGCGCGGGGCTGGGGTCTCCAGCCAAACGCGCGGGGCTGGGGGGGGGGGGGGTAAATTTTACCCCCCCCCCTGTTATCTCCCGAACTAATGGTCCGATTTGAAAAATTCAAACGCCAATCAAAAGATCTCATCACGAACAACTAAAAACATGTACTTAATTTTAAGTTTGAGGTCAAGGTCAAGGTCAGGTCAAGGGTACAAATTGCAAGTTCCTACAGTATCGGCCTTGCACCGTAGTTGCCGAAGAATGGAGTCATGGACTGAGACTGATCGCCCAAAACGTGTTCTTATGCTACCAAGACAATATTCGTTGCATACAATATCATTCAGAGGTCAAGGTCAAGGTCAGGTCAGGTCACCAAAAACAAAATATAGAAAAGGGCATGTGCGATACATGTTTTATGGGTCATTTTACTCATAGAATTCAATAGGCACACTCAATAAGTGATATGGACCACCTCTGGATGAATTTCAGGTCGAGGTCAGGTCAAGGTCAGGTCAAGTGAGGTCAAATTTTGAAGTTGGTTGTTAAGGCCTAAAAAGGTGTCTATCTGATGCAGTTTTTCACGGCGAGTCGAATGGTGCTATTTTTGTTTCCGTACGAGGTCTAGAACTTCCAAAAAAGTCATTTTTCAAAATTTTTGTGTGTCGTGACGTCATACAATTTTGAATAACTCCCACATTTTTGAACCGATTCTTCTAAAACTTGGTATGTAGGTGCACATAGACCACTTCTCTGACATATATTCTGTTTTTTTTTTCGATACACTCAAAATTTTGGATTTTATAGCTATTTTCCTAAAAAAGTCAGTTTTTTGAAGAAAAAAAAAATTTGGGCCAAAATCCAAAATTTTCAAAAAACCGAGATAGCCATTTGATAGACAAAGTAGAATTACGTATATCCTTTTTTTGTTACGTCTTGATTCCTTTAAAAATGAAGATGTTAGCGGCGTTTGAACTTTTGCCGTTTTTGAGGCGAAAATGGCGAACATGACGTCACTAAAACGTCAATTTCTCAAAAATTTTCCGACGGATTTCGCTCAAATTTTCAGGGAACGTGTCAAATTGATGTAAGAAAAGGTACTGAAAGTTTGGCGGCGCTGCGCGCCGCCGTTTTTGAGATATTGCAAAAATTCGCGAGGGGGGTAAAATTTACCCCCCCCAGCCCCGCGCGGGTTAAATCTGTTTTATTGGCGCTATGCGTTGGAGAAGCAAAGGCCTTAGTAGAAAAGTGCGTCTGATCTTTCCGATGTCCACACTCCGAAGATGTCGGACGACCTTGAGATTGGCAGCTCATCTAACAACATCAATCACTCAAAATGACTTACGGTGGAGATGCGGTGGAGGCTCTGACTTACGCAAGATAATATCTTTAGGGTTGGTGGGTCACGCGTGGTTTCGCTAATTTCTTCATTTTTTCCCTCGCCAATCACGGCAGACGCAGGTGCGATCTGGACGAGCAATTCCGTGCAGTTCAGCTACATGATTGTGCTTGACGCACTAAACCGTCATGAATTAGCGCCGGTATTTTTTAGATTGATTCGGCATCGTGGAAAAGGTCGCGCCGGCGATGACAGCAGCACTGAAAATGAAGTTAAACGGTGGATGGATCGGTGAACATCACACGATTTTCACTGAAACCGAACTAACGGTTGCAGCAGCATTTCGTGCGAAATGATGCATTCAGAGCGCTCATCAGAAGCCATAGGCGTAGGAACAGGGGGGGCCAGGTGGGCAAGTGCCCACCCACTTTTCGAGGTGGGGGGGGGGGGGCAACCATGTGTTTTGGCCCACCCACTTTTTACTCGAGGCCCCTCGTCTCGATTTGAGAGGACGTCGTCACCTTCCAGAATAAACAAACTCGGTAAAAATAAGTTCCACGAATCCCCACGCACGGACTCCAAGGGGCCGTGATGGATCCAAGGAGGCCCTCTGTTCATACTTGTCAGTCGAAGCCCCTGAGACTGATGGCCTGAGAGGCCCTAGTGGATCTGAGGAGGCCCCAATATCCACACTGGTCGGGGAGGCCCCTGACACTGGCGGTCTGGGAGGCCCCTCTATCCACACTAGTCAGAGGTCTGAGACTGGTGGTCTGGGAGGCCCCTCCATCCACACTAGTCAGAATAGGCCCCTGACACTGGCGGTCTAGCCGAGGCCCCCTACCCTCACTAGTCAGAGGAGGCCCCTCTATCCTCAATAGTCAGAAGAGGCCTATCCATCTACACTGTAGTCAGAGGAGGCCCCTGATACTGATGACCTGAGAGGCCCTTATAATCACACCAGGCAGAAGAGGCCCCTGAGACTGATGGTATGAGAGGCCCTTATATTCACACCAGTCAGAAGAGGCCCCCGAGGCTGATGGCTGTGAGGCCCTTCTGTTCATATAACTGGCCACTGGAATCCCCTGAAACCGGTGGTCTGGGAGGGCCCTCTATCCAAACTAGTCAGAAGAGGCCCCTGAGACCGATGGTCTGAGAGGCTCTTATATTCATACTGGCCACAAGAGGCCCCTGAGACTGATAGTCAGAGAGGTCCACTCGTAATGAATCTGAGGGGGCCCTCTATCCACATTTACACTTTTCGAGGGAGGCCCCCGAGACTGATGGTCTGAGAGGCCCTTTTATTTATACTGTCCACAGGAGCCCCATGAGATTTATAGTCTAAGAGGTTCTCTATTTATACTAAGCAGAGGCCCTAGGACTGATGGTCTAACAGGCCCTTCTATTTATACTAGCCAGAGGAGGCCCATGATACTGATTGTCTGAGAGGCCCTTCTATTCAAACTAGGCAGATGAGGCCCCTGAGAATGATAGTCCGAAGAGCCATGCGGCGGCAACTGGCCGTGGCCATATTTCGGCTCGGTAGGGCCCCACAGAGCTCATGAGAGCACCTCAAGGGCTCCTAAGTAGATACGCTTATCCCCATAAGGGTGCCACGCCGGCTTCTGAAGGCTCCTTGTAGGCATCTAAAGGGCCCTTTCCGGCCTCTAACGGCTCCACCCGCCTGTGATGGCTCCACACCAGTGTTAATGAGCGCCACACAGCGGCGCCTTTGAGGGTCATACTAGTGTCTCTTAGGGCCCTATATCGGTGGCTCTGGGGGCCCCACACCGGCGCCTCTGTGGGCCACCACACCTGTGTATCTCAAGGCTCTATAGCTATATCTGAAGGACCCACACCGACACCTCTGAGGGTCCCACACCAGTATCTCGGAGCTCTGAAGGCCCCACACCGGTGACTCTGAGGACTCACCGGCTCCTGAGAGCACCATGTTGAATGTTGATGTCTAACGGCTCCACAAGGCCACTGAAGGCACCACACAAGCTCTCACTGAGCTCTAATGTCCATGTACCGGCCTCTGAGGGATTTAAGCCAGCGCATTCATAGCTCCACACCAGCAATTGTAAGGGCTCCACACTGAAGTATCTGAGGGTTCCACACCGGTGTCTCTAAGGGCCACATACCGGCATCTCTGAGGGCCCCATACCGGCGTCTCAGAGGGTCCACATCTGGCGGGCACCCATCAGCGACTGAAGGTCCCACACTGTCGACTCCGAGAGCCCCATCTGCGTCTGGGAGCAACATGCCGTCTCTAAGAACCACAGTGGCCCCTCTGTCGAAAGATGGGCGTCTGCATGCCAAATGGGAGCGGTTCTGAGACAGTAGGGCACCTACGTGCAATAGAGGGGCGCCTATGAAGCCCATAGGGGCGCCTCAATGCGAAAGAGGGGTGCCTCTGAGGCCTGCATATATGGACGTCTACATGCAATAGAGGTCTGCGACTGCAATTGATCAATGCCATGGGGGTGCATTCATAAGAAACAGGGGCGCCGGCATGGCAAATAGAGACGCCTTCAAGTGTCCATAAAAGAGAGACGCCTATGATAAGCGCACATTGTATGCGACAACGGGGCGACTGTGGGACATAGGGATGTCTCTGATGACTATACATAGGGCGCTTATATGCCAAAGAGGGCGCCTATGAAGCTAATGGGGGCACCTGGGAAACGAGGAAGACATTTGCGTAAGGGTTTTCAGGGGTCATGTGCCGTTTGCGGCAAATAGATTCTAAAAAAAATCGGAGGGGGAATAAGTTTTAAAAATGGTGTGGACTTTCCGCACTGTTCGCTTAAGCGGTTACGCCCCTGGGTACATCTGACCGATCTCAGAAGCTAGATTTGGAGGTCATACTTGAAAGCAGCCAGCAGGACGAGGTAAAAGTTGGAGGCCTCTGTAAATAGGAGGCCCCCTGGAAAAGGAGGCCCCTTGACAGGGTGGCCCACCCACTTTTCATGACGTTCCTACGCCCGTGTCAGAAGCAATGGTGCGAAACATCGACTTGTTCGGGCCTACTGGTAGACTCACGCGATCGCTTTTCACTTTCCCCCATTTTCCATTTATTACGTCAATCGGAGTCCAAAATAGCCTGCTAAGACGTGGACGATTTTGGGCTTAAATGCGGCGACGGCAAAACATAAGTAGAGGTAGACACATAGATAAGCTCGAATAGCATGCGTCCCGGCCTCCTCCATTTAGCGGTACCTATGCAACCGTTTCCAACCTTACCGGCCCCGTTTGGTCATTCACTTCGCTTTTGGAA